CTTTCGGTTTGGAGGGCAACCTGGATTCCCAAATCCCGTGCTGGCTCGAACCCTCCAGGCCACCTCCTTATCTCCTCCAGGACGAGGAGAGCAGGGAGAGACGGAGAGACACCACCTCCCCTGCCAGGGCACTGTCCCCCTGTGCCCCTTTCCACCTCGAGGCCCGAACGTGAAGGCCCTGGGGACACGCCCCACCCCTCCCGCGGCGGGCAATTTTCCTTTCCTCCTTCATGTTTCCAAAACAGTTTATCTTTTTATCTCCCTCGGAAGAAAAGTACTCGGCAAATCAAAGGTATCATTAGTATTGTTATTATTTGGCTATTGAAATCTCTTGAATCCGCTCCGGATTATTCATGTGCTTTTTTGGGTCTGGAACATAAAGCCTTGGAAAGTCACCCCCACTGGGCCGAACAAAACAGGAAAAATTGCATCTTCAGGCCTCACCCCCGGCTCCGCCCGGGCTCCTGCTGGCCCTGGCGCCCGACTCCGAGGCAGAGCCCGGGAAGGCTGCTCCTTGGTCCCGTGCCCTGCGCCCTGCCGCCCGTGGCTGTGCCATCCTTCCCTGCCGCCCGCAGCGAGGCCCCAGGGTGGCCTGTGAGAGCAGCCCGGTGGGCGGGGACCCCACCCACCCCACTCTCCTGGGGGTTGCGTCTCCTTCCCTTATGGGCCTGGCGGCAGCTGACAGCTCTCCACAGGGTGGTAGACACGGCACCACCCCAACACTCCCATCGGGGTCCCCACGCCCAAGGACGTGAAGGACGTGTCCCACACCCTTGGCAGCTGGGCCGTGACCTTCCAGGACAAAGACATCGTTCTTCCTCCTCTAGACAAGGCATCCAAAGACCCGGGGGCCGAGGGGTGGGGAGGACCCCACTTCCTACTGCTGCATCTCCTGTTCTCAGGCATTTCTGGGGAGGCAGGGGGCTTCGGAAGTTGCTGTTGATCCCCGATTTTCTTTTCCAATGCCAGCTCAGCCTGTATCCCAACACTTGCCTTTGGGGTGCCCCTTCTCTCCTCTGGGACCCCTGCCACAGCCCCCAAGGAAGTGCCTCACAAGTTCGAGACTCCAGCTCCTGCCACGGTGTCTACTGCCCCTGGGACCCTCTCCCTGCACCCCTCTCTGGGTGGCCCCTGTGGACAGCTGCATCACCTTGAGCCCTGGCCTTGAGGACTCCCCCACCCACTCCCCCCTAGCATGGCCTATTTGGGCCATTCAAACCAGCAAGTCAGGAGACCAGATGGTAGGCAGTCTCTGGGAGTAGAGGGGTAGCTCTCTGACTGACCTTCAAGTCAGGGGGTCACTGACAGGTCCAGTCAGGTTTCATCAACCCTCCCCGTAACATATCTAGAGGAGCATGTGCTAAACTCAAGCTGAGGTCAGGGTACACCGAATGAGAACTTTTACACCCCAGAGCAGCTCTGTGGGAAGGTCCCACTGGGGACCCAAGCGTGGGGGAGACGCCCCCTTTCTTAACAGCAGGAAGTACAAGGTTGGTGCAAGAGCTGATGGGACCAGGCACCCACTGCCACCCCCAAGGATCCCACACTTTGGAGATCTCAGAGGAAGTCAGTCCATGCCCCTGGGAAGGGGCCACACGGCCAGGTCTGGAGTCTGCCAGCAGAGGAATGAACTCATGGGGACCACTTTGGGGCAAAGTACTGGGAAGAAAAGGAAGCACGGAGTGACTTGGGAGTGGACAGATGGGAGAGAATTGATTCCTTCTCGCCCAGGAGCTGAGCGGGCTCTTGTCCGAGGGGAGGGGGCGGGGCAAGCCCGGCTGATCCTGGCAGCTGATGGGCCTCCCTGCCCTGCCCTGAGAGAGGCCCCCAAACACCTCCACCCTGCCTGCAGCTCACCCTTGCTTGGCTGCACCAAAGGAGGACAGCACGTGGCCTTTCTGCTGCCCTCTTCAGAATGAATATTGTGGGGGCCAGAGCAACGGTTCTGTAGGTAGGACGCTTGCTTGCATGTGGCCAGCCTGCCTGGGTTTGATCCCCAGTACCCCATAGGATCTCTCGAACCCCACCAAGAATAATCCATGAGCACAAATCCTGGAGTTCAGTCCTGAGCACTGCCGGGTGTGGCCTCAAGTCCCAGTGAAGACAGAATGAAAAGCATTGCTCCCGAGCGGTACCCAAAGAGCCCCAACTTTACAAGAACACAGAAGACGGTGGACCCCAACATTCCATACACCTCTGTGTCACTCTCTGAAGGGTTAGAAGCAAAGAGGAGTGAGAGTGGGCCAAGCAGGAAAGAAGGGGTGATGGAAAGGGACTCCGAGAGGCTCCCTGTCTGAAGCACCCTCCATTCACCCCTCCCTCCGGATGCAGAACACAGCTGTCAGGCAGTGGACGAACACTGTTTCCAGAAACCTCCAAACAGACTCACACTCCCCGCCCTCTGCCCAGGTTGGGCCCCTGGGAGCTGGAGCTGATTCTCTGAGGGTTGGGCTCCCTAGTCTGGACACAGTTCCCTGGAAAGCACCCCCAAAAGAAAAGCATTTACAGGAGACAGCGGGTCATGGTGGAGGAGGGTGTCGGCGACTGCGGCCTCGGTCAGGGCACGACTGTAGGACGTGGACACTGCCCAGTCACTTGATAGACGCAGACTCTGAGCACCAGCCAGGTGCATCTGTGCAGAGATAGCCACGAAATGCAGGGGTTCTCCCCAGCATTCCACCCCTCTGGGCACAGTAACAGTCACACAGAAAAAAAGTAGAGTACAGAGACAACTGACCACAACCAAGTGCCTACCCCCTGCCCCAGCTGACCCTCCCCTCTTGGACATCAGCTGCTGAACGTTCCAGGGGCTGGCAGGCAGGGCCAAGTCTGGGCTCTTGGGGCCAGCTCCATCCACTCTTCTCTCCTCTCCCGCCCAGCCCTCCCCCTTGGCAGTGCATGCCCTGCGCTTCTTCCATCGGGCAGGGCGGGCAGTGCCAGCCAAGCCCAGAGCGTTCAGGAGTCACGGGGAGCAAGGGATGGCGGGAGGCTGTGGTTTCTTCCTAGAGCTCTCAGGGCCTAGGATGGGTTGGGCTGAGCTCTCATCCTCCATGGGCAAATATTGAAAGATTCATGGGAGGCCACTGAAACTAGCTTCTACCAGGGCTACCAGGGAAAGTAGGAGACACACAGACAGCTGTGATTCCAGCAGTCACAGGTGCATGGACACGCAGAGAAGACGCCAACAGGGTCCAGCTTCAAGACCCCCCCTCAAGACTCATGACATCATGCTTGGGTCCCACAAGCATATTACGGGGTGGCTGGCCGATGGGACTCTGGGTATGGGGTGGCTGGCTGATGAAACCCTGGGTATGGGGTGGCGGGCCGATGGGACCCTAAGCAGCAAGGTCCCGACCTGGGAGGAAGAGGCTGAGTTGCAAGTGTCTGTGCAGGACCCACAGCAAGAAGGCACCCCCCCCCCCCACACACACACACCTAGGAGCAGGCGATCAATTGCACAGAACGGCAAGAGAACCCAAACAGCGTCTGCACCAGCTTCTTGAGATAGTTCGTATTCATTCCGCCCGGGAACTCTCGGGAAGGCGATTTATCTTCCTGCTGCTGGAGGGATCCACCGAGCCACGCGAGTACAGGGAATGAGAGCGCATGTCCACACAGCACAGGCTCAGACGGCTGAGCCGGGGCAAGGGTCCCTTGAGAGGAGCCTCAGTGGTCTCGGGGCAGCCCTTCCCTGGCCATGGGGGCCGAGGAAGGAGGCAACCCAGACTCGGCTCTGACTCCGCTTCTCTCGGAAAGGGAAAGGCGAGCTGGCGGCTGGCACAGTCAGCCGCCCATGGCAGTGCTCTGCTTCCTGCAAAACTTTTACCCTTCATTTAATCAACAGATGGACGTGCTCTGCTGTGGATTTTTTTTCCCTCTGAGCGAGCCCTGTCCCTCTCCTCTCCCTCTCCTCTTCTCTCTCTCTCTCTCTCTCTCTCTCTCTCTCTCTCTCTCTCTCTCTCTCTGTCTCAGAGCTGTGCTGGCTGGCACCAACTGCAGCCTGATGGCACAGTCAGCCTTAGCATGCCAAGAGGGGGAAGGAACTGATTTTTTTTTCCTCCCCTTCCAACTCAGTTCCACAGGTGACTTTCCATGCCTTTGGCAGGAGGCTCTGGGAACCCCACTCCTGGTTTTCCCTTCCCGCCTCCGCAGTTCCCAGTCTGGAGTGGGGGTGGGGGGTAGGGCAAAGGAGGGGTGTCCCAGTGGCAGGGAGTCCCCAGGTGCTGGCAAAGTTCTTGCAGGAAGGTCGGTTGGCACCTGTGCCCCGCTAGGCTGCAGAAAGAGGCAATCAATTGGCACCAGCGGGGAAATTGCATTGTAGACCCTGGACCCGGGAGGAGGCTGTGTGTAGGATTCGGCTTTCAGCCTCACTGGAGCACCCGGCGCAATTCAATGAAACTCGCGGCAAGCTTTTCCCAGCCACCACCGATCACCCCCACAGCACCGTGGGCAGAGGCAGCTCCAGCGGCCCCAGCTCCACACAGCCCCTTTCCAACACACTCAGGCAGACCTGCTCGGGGCTGAAACCGCCACCTCAACAAAGCTTCTCCTCTCCTCCATCCTGGGAGAAGGTGGGTGGACAGAAGTTCACAGCGGGCAGATCCCGCGGACCCGGCCGGCTGACCACAGCGGGAGCATAAGCAACTCGTTTGCATGGGAGACTTGGAGCTGAACGCTGACAAGTGGGGGGGGGAGAGAAACTCGCCCCCGCCCGGGGGGTCCTCCAGCTCCCCACTCCCCATCCCCAGCAGCCCCTTCCTTCCTTCCTTCCACAGGAAAATGCACGGTACCATTTTGTAGCGGTTGCAAAGGCAAAGAAAGCAATGCCAGCGCCCGCCGGCCGGCCGCCAGGCACGCATCCATCAGTGCGAGTTTTCGAAGCCGGACCCCCGGATTCCGGTCCCCGGCACCCGCACCGGCCTCCCCCATCCCCGCACCCCCGGCGGCCCCGGACAAGCCAGCCGACTTTTCTGCTTCGCAACTCCAGCAGCGGGTCCTACCTTGGTGGAAGAGGAAGACGCCGGCGAGGAGCAGACCCAGCGGGAGCGGTCTCATTCCGCAGCGCGGCCAGGGGCAAGTTGGCTTGGCCGGGAGTTGGTGCGCCCGGGCGGGCGCGCGGGCGCGCGGGCGTGCGGCGCGCGGGCTCGGGGATGCTCCTGGCGCGTCCCGGCGCCCGCCGCCGCTGCCTGTCCCTAGCCGCCCCGGGAAGCCGGACCGGGCAGCAGCAGCAGCGGCAGCGGCTCGTCCATCCCCAGGCTCGCGGCGTCCCGGGCTCACGGCCGCCTCGCCGGCTCCTCCCACCGCCAGCCAGCGAGCGAGGAGCGAGTGACGAAGGGCGCGGGGGAGCAGAGGAGGGGGACCGGGCCGACTTAAAGAGGAAAGACTTGGCGGGGCGTGGGGAGGAGGAGGACGAGGAGGAGGAGGACTGGGAGGAGGAGGAGGAGGAGGTCTGGGCAGCGCGGAGATGGAGGTGGGGCTCCGTGCTGTCTTTCCTGCCCCCACCCCACCGGCATCGCCCCCTCCCCGTGCCACCTCCCACCCCACCCCGCCCCCCACCCCCCAACCCAGGGGGAAAATTCAGCCTTTGTCACCGTTCTTGAGCGCCAGGCAGCTTGCAACGGGGAGGCGTGCCGGGGGGGACTTTCCGGTGCTCCGTGGAAGTGAAGTTTAAGGCTGACCGCATGCAAGTGCCCCGGCTGGACACGGGCACAACCTGGGCTCTGCACCCGGCTCTGGGGACTGGGCTGGAAGCGAGGAGCTGGGGGTTAAGGAGGGGGGAGGTTTGCTTGGTTCTTGCTGCCGGTGTGTGCAATTGGGGGTCCGGCATCAACGATGGATCCTGCTTTGCAGTGCTGAGGCTTTCCTGGGGTGGGAGTGGGGGGCGCTAGTGAGGACCGAGTCCTGACCATTTGGACCTCACCTTGCTTGTGTCTGTCCCCCCCCCCCAAAAAAAAGGCATGCGAGGGGGAGCAAGCAGGCTGGGGGCACTGCCCCACCGTTCGGATTATTCTGAACAGTGCAGCCCCTTGCCAGGGGAGGGGGAAGCCCTGGAGGGGGATGGGTTCAAGGGGCACTCAAGGAGCAGTTCTTCTCCAGAAGGTGCTGCGCATCCTTCCTGCCAAGGAGAGGCCAAGGTCACGGGCAGGCAACCACCGCCTGCAAGAACCTTCGGGGCTGCTTTACCTGCCGTGAAGCCCCACCCCCAGGACCATCCGAGTGAATTCACTCAGGTCCGTCTGCCAGGCAGACGTGCAGACGGGCCTGGGGGATGCTGTCTGTGAGGGAAAGAAAAACACCAGCACACACCGTGCCTTCAGGGGCTCGCGATTGTACGTGAGAGCAAAGTATCTACATCAGACCCCAGCTGCGCGTGAGGAGGGTCAGCCCACAGACAGAGAATGGGCAGTCTGCTTCAGAGACGCTGAGAGGACAAGGAGAAGCCACTCCCGCCCGCCTCGTGTTTCCACGCTCAGATCAATAGTCCCTTTCTCCAGCCCCTGGACCCAGGGCACTCTGCACCTTTCTTCTCCCGGGATTAGGGATGCCCGGAGCTTAGCTGACTGCAAGGCACAGTTCAGCTCCATGTCTGCACGTGGATGGCGACTTAAAAACACCTCCCTGGGTATTCGTGAACGGGGAAGAGGGCAGGAGGGGGCAGATGTGAAAGTGAGAGCCAGTAGGAGCTGACATCTGGGAGCTGACATCTGAGATCTACAAATTAGTAGGTGTCTGTTGTGTTAACTTTTCTATTCTTCACGTAATCGTTTATTTAAGTTTATTTAACCATATCCCCTAGAGGCAGTTAAACGTATCAAAGGGCAATCTGTAAGCAAGCTGGATGGGGGGGTCGGGGGAGGGGGGGAGCAGGAGCGCAGAGCATCCCAGGAGGCACCCCAGGCCCTGAAGGGAAGACGAGGGCTGGGAAGCTGACTGCCATGCCCACAATTGCTGTCCCAGGCCAGGCGCCTCCGCAAAAGCGGCAAATCAGGAGCAGAGGCAAAAGATGGGCAACCACCCAAGCAACATCTGCCCGACACCACGTGAAGGGGAAACTGGGTGGGAAGTGGTGTGGGCCAGCGGCTCTCCTTACACCTGGGGCCGGAGACAGCCCAGACCCCAGCCCAGAGCACGCGGAGCAGGAGGCAGTGCCCGCCAAGGCTGCAGGTCAGCCCGCAACGAAGCACGCAGCCTTCAAGCTGTTGCTTAATTTTGATGGCTAATTCCTGCGTGGCCTGGGGCCCAGATTTGCTTAACTCAACCCTGGAGAGAAATATTATAAAATCAGGGGCATGTGGCTCATGAACTGCACAGGATGGGAGAATCGGGCCATGACAGGCATGTGTGAAACGCACACACACACACACACACACACACACCACACTCTCACCCTCACACCGCACACACGCATACAACACACTCACATACTCCTATCACACATACTCACAACACACACTCACATTCATCCTCACACCACACACACTCACACCACACACTCACATACTCATATCATACACTCACAACACACACTCACTCACATACTCATATCACACTCACAAACACACACCACACTCTCACCCTCACACCGCACGCTCATATCACACATCCTCACAACACATACTCCCATTCATCCTCACACCACACACACTGACATACTAATATCACACATGCTCACAACATACACACCACACTCTCACTCTCACACCACACACACTCTCACATACTCATATCACACACTCTCACAACATACACACTCACATTCATCCCCACACCACACACAACCCACACCACACACATTCACAACACACATACCATTCACATTCATTCACCCTCAAGCCACACGCACACACTCACACCACACATACATTCATTAAACCTCACACCACACGCTCACACCACTCACACTCATTCACTCTCACACCACAGACACTTACATCACACACATTCGACCTCTCACCCCCCCACCCTCACATTCATGCACTCACACTCATACCACACACACTCACACTCATTCTTTCTCAGACCACTTCCACACATCATACACCCATACCACTCACACTCATTCACACCACACCACACACACACACTCATTTACCCTCACACCACACACACTCACATCCAATTACCTCCACACTACACGCACACACTGCACACACACAACAGTTAAGTCGCGCACACACCACACACTGAAACACACAAGTCACTCACACCACACACCGTTACACGCTGACACACTTACACAGCCACCACGCACACATCACACAATCTATACCCCACTCTCACCTTTGCACCACACAGTTACACATATTTACACTCACACCACACGTCACACTCACACTCACACTCACCTTCACACCACACACAGGTACACATCGCGCTCACACGCACATGCACACGCATGCACGCATGCATGCAACCACGCACGCACTCACGGCCAGAGCTGATGGGTGGTGGCACAGGAGGAAAGAGCATCTCCAGACACTGGCCCTGGCCCCTGCCCGCCCCTCGCCCGGCCCTGCCCTGGGGTCTGCGGGGCGGCCAGAGCTCACAGGTGCCCAGGGCAGGGCGCGGCGGCCGTGCGGGACTGACCGGCGCGGGGCCGGGCGAGCCCTGCAGACGCTGCTGGCGGCCGGGTCGCCGCCCCCTCCGGGCTGGGGGCGGGGAGACGGGCGGGAGTCCGGTGCCCGCACAGGGCTGGGTCTACCCGAAGGCGGCCCGCGAGCGGCGGCGTGTCTGGGTCTCGGCACCGCCGGGCGCACGGTGGCCAGCGCGTCCCTGGCCAGCAGGTGGCGACCGCTCCAGCGTTTCTCCTGCTGGCCGTGCGCCGGCCGGCGGACCCGCCGCCTGCAGCCCCCCGCTCGCTCTCCCTGCGGGCCTCGGGAGCGGGGAGAGCAGGTTCGGCCCGGCCCGGCCCGGCCCGGCTGCCGGCCCACGAGTTCCGCCGGGCCGGGCTCCCCGCCGCCTGCCCGCAGTCTTCCGGGCTGGGGGAGTCAGGCCCCAGGTGCGGGGTACGGGGCTGGACCGCGGCCCGGCACCCCGACCACGCACTCCCTGGCTGGACACTCCTACTGGACAGCTCCCACCTGCGCCCGGGTCGGGAATGGTCACTGAGCCCGACCAGGCTCGGCTCATCGCCCCAGTCTAAGGGCTTTGCTTGCTCCGGTACTTGGCAGGGATGCGCGGGATGCTGAAGCGAATCCTGATTCCTGGGGAGTTTGTCCTCTGCCGGGAAGAAGTCTCTGGGGGTCGTAAACAGGTGGGGGGGGGGGGGACGTAAGGAAAGTCTCCCTGGAGTTCTGATCAGATGGACATCACTCTCCTGGGAGGTCCTTCTGGAGGGGCCTCTCCCTGCGCACACTCCTGGGGTTGACCACAGGGGGCTGCAAGCCCAGATGCAGCCCGGCCGCCCCCCTCCCCAGTTCCCACTACCGCTGGTGGTCAGCTTCCTCCCCACCCCCTTCCTGCCTTCTAAGCACCTAAGGGGAGAAGAGGGACTGTTTTATGAGGGGGAGGGGGTGTCACGGGCAGAGAATTTCCTGTTTAATGCCTCCTCGCAATTATTCGTTGTACAGATGCATTATAAACCACATTTCCTTTCTTTTTTTTTTCTCTCATATATCCTGCCAGTGCTTTTAAAAACCTCCCAGTCCAGGGATTTAAACACGTTTTGCAGGGACCCCTCCTGGGACATCGGGGTAACCTGATGCCCCGTCCTGGGGAAGTTAATAAAGGCTCCCAGCTCCACAGCCTTCCAGAGACCAGGCAGCCTGCAGAGGTCCAGCCTGGGCGGTGGCCGGGCTGCCCCTGGCCAGTCCCAATCTTCCAGCCTATTTCTCTTTCATTTATCTGAGCAAATTCCTGGTTCACAACCGGGTCTGTGGGTTACCAACGTTACGCCCACCCTCACCCCACCACAGAGCTCATACTACCCATGGAAGAGTGAAAAGCCCAAAGATCCAGGTGTGCGGCTTGCAGAGCACCTGTGCTCCCAAAGGCAGGGGGAGGCTGCCCCCACTGGCTCCCCAAGGCCAGGCCTTGGAGGGCGTCCCAGGACACGCCTGCCCTCAGTGCTGGCCTGCACACTGCGCATGTCTGTGCCCCTGGCCACAGGCTGACCCGG